AAGTTTATCCTTCTTTATGGCTGAGTAGTACTCCATTGTATATAAAAACACATCTTTTCATTCCATTTGTCCACTGGTGGGCATTTGGGTGGTATCCAAGATTCAGCTATCACAAACTGTGCTATCATAAACATGAGGATTCATATATCACTGTAGTATGATGCTTTTAATTCTTTTGAGAAGACATCAAGAAAAGGAATTAAATAGCTGGGACAAATGGAACCTCTAGGTCTAGCTTTTTGAGGAATCTCTTCATTGATTTCAGTCGCTGTGCCAGTCTACACTCCCACCAACAGTGGAGAAGTGTTCTTCACAGCCCCACCAACATTTGTTATTGGTTGATTTGTTCACATCAGCTTTCTTTCTGGAGTGAGAAGGAATTTCAACATTGTTTTAATGTGCATCCCTTGAATGATCAGTGATGCTGAGTGTTTTTTCATGTATTTATTTGCTGTTTGTACTTCGGAGATGTGTCTGTTTATTTTAGATGTCCACTTTTTTGACTCGGTCTTCAAATTTGGGGGAATCTGATTGTTTTCAATTCTTCATATATTTGAGATTTTAGTTCTTTGTTTAAAGAACTGGCTAAGATTTTTTTTCTCACTCTATGGGTTGCTTTTTCGCTCTGTTGGTGATTTCTTTTGCTGTGCAAAGTTTTTGAATAAAATGAGATCCTAGTTGTTGACTCTTGTAGAATTTGTCTTGTAGTCAAGGTTTTGCCTACAACTGTGTCTTTAAGATCTATCTATTCTCTCTTCCAGCAGATTTACTATTTCTGTTTTAATATGTAGATCTTTGATCCATCCTGATTTTAGTTTAGTGCATGATGCTATACATGGGTCTAAGTTTTCAACATATCATAAGAAAGTATGACCAGCACCATATATTAGAAAGGCCTTCTTTCTTTCATGAAATGTGTCTGGTCCCTTTGTCAAAGGTAAGACTGTTGAGTATGTTTGGTATTGTTTCTGGCTCTTCTAATGTTTCACTGATCCTCACTCAAGTTTCTTTCTTTCTTTTTTGCTAGTACCATACTGTTTTTAATCACAGTATCTGTAGTACAACTTTAAGTCAGGGATTGTGCTGTCCAACGCTGTGCCTTTGTTGCTCAGAATTGTCTGTGATATATCTACGTCTCTTCTTTTTCCAAATGAATTTTAGGAATGTTTTCTCTAGTTCTGTGAGAGATGCTAATAATATTTTGATTGGGCTTGCACTAAATTTGTATAATAATTTTGGGAGGATGGCCAGTTTCATTGTTGGTTCTTCCTAACATAAGCAAGGGATAGCTTTCCATTTTCTGATACTGTCTGATCATCTTTTTCAGAGTAGTATAGTTTTCAATGTAAAGATCTTTTACTTCTTTTGATAGACTGATTCCTAAGTACTTCATTTTTTTGATGATATTGTGAAAAGTGTGGTTTCCTTCATTTCTCTCAGTGAGTTTATTATTTGTGTACAGGAATACTACTGATTTTTGAGTGCTGACTTGGGAATCCAGCTGTATGACTAAATCAGGTTATGAAATCTAGAAGTCTTCTGGGTGGAAGTTTTGGAGTCTTCAATGCAGAGTATCATGTCAACTGTAAATAATGATAATTTAACTTATTTTCTGTCTTTATCCCCCATTTTTTTCCTAGTCTAATTGCTCTGGCCAATGTTTCCAGACTACTACATAGAAATGGTGGTAGGGGACATCTTTGTCCTGTTTTTCGAGAGAAAGTTTCCAGGTTTTGACTATTTAGAATGATGTATTCTGCTGGTTGTCATACACGGCTGTAATCAGATTTAAGGTAATGATTCCAATTTTCTGTAGGGTTTTTATCGTGAATGTGTGTTGGCCTTTATCAAATGCTTTTTCTGCTTCTACTGAGATGATTCTGTGGGTTTTTCCCTTGGTTCTGTTAATACGGTGTATCACATTTACTGATTTGTGATGCTGACTACCTGTAATTCCTGGGATGACTCTTACTTGGTCATGGTATATAGTCTTTTGGAGGACTTGCTGTGTTTTGTTCACCAGAATCTTGCTGAGGATTTTTGCATCTATGTTTACTAGTAAGACTAGTCTATAGTTCTCTTTATTCATTGGGTTCTTCTCTGGTTTTTATATCAGGATATAACCTGCTTCCAGGAATCACTTTGGGAGTACTGTTTCATCTTTCAATTTTATTAAAGAGTTTGACAAATAATGGCATTAGATCTTCTCTAAATTTTTTATAGAAACCAGCAGTGAAACCATCAGAACCTAGGCTTTTTTTCTTTTGCTTGGTAAATTTTTAATTATACTTTCAATTTCATTGACTGTTATAGGGTTATTTACAATTTTTATACTTTCTTGATTCAGCTTTGGTAATTTATATGTATCTAGGAATCCGTCCATTTCTTCTGTTTTCTATCTTATTAAGAGTAAAGGATCTCAAAGTAGGTATTTATGATATTCTGGATTTCCACAGGTTCTGTTGAGATTTCACCCTTCTTGTTCCTGACTGCATCAATTTTTTTTTTTTTTTTTTGTAAAGTTGGCTAAGGGCTTGTCAATTTTATTTAATCTTTCAAAGAACCAATTCTTTATTCATTTTTTTTTGTATTGTTTTTTAGTCTGATCTTTATAATTTTCTCCCTCATACGAGCCTTGGGCCTGACTTGTTCTTCTTTTCCTAGACGTTTGAAGTTCAGCATTAGGTTGTTTTATTGAGCTTGTTATTTCTGTTATGAGAGTTCACTGCTAAAAACTTTCCTCTTAGGACTGCTTTCATTGTATCCTATAAATTCTCACATGTTGTATCAGATTTAATTTCTTCATTAATTTTATGTTATCAGTAGTGTGCTACTTAATTTCTATGTGTTTATGCAATGTTTATTATAGAATGTTAGTTGGGCAATATTATTTTAGAAAAAACAAAGCAGCTTGGAGCAAACCAGTGCAGGCTCTAGAAGAGAATCCAATGTCATGTATAAGGAGCTTACCTGTATGGCAGCATTCTCCACATTTCAAACCTGGGACTCCTTGGTACTCTTTTTACAGCCCAAGCACACAAAGCACTCATTCCACCAGCCATCTGTCACTGCACACTAGGCAGCTCTGAGGGGTGGAGACCTCTACCATATACTTGTGAGAGAATGAGAGTAACAGGAACAGCATTATACTATTATAGAAACTGGCTTTACCTTGTAGAACTTCTTGGGTTACCTCAAGACTTCAAACTTACACCACAGTTTAACAGCTACTGCTGTATAGCAATAGGAATGACCAAATCAATGAAAGAGTATGAAGAAAACATGAGATGGGAAGAGGTTAAAGCAGAAAGATACAGTAGACTTACAGCCGCTTACAGTGGGACAAGAATGTCCAAGCCAAACTTATTATTTACACAAGAACTTTCAAGGCTATACTAAGAAGTAATAAAATGGGAATAAAGTATCTTCAGCATTTATTTATCTGTCCTAGTACTTTATACTAACCAGGATGCCAAATACATAAAATGTATCTTACCTTGAAATTTCTCAGAAAAAACAAAAGGTCAAATTTCTGAAATTCTATTACTTTACCTTACAACTACGTGTTCAAATTCAAAACATAACAGTTAAACATCCATCTTATGCCCACAAGTAAGTCTAAAATTTATAATTTTGTATAATGAAAACTGAATTTTAAAAATCTATACATCTTAACATGAAAGTTTAATAGCTCTACTGAAATATTTTCCTTCAGTAACCTCATATGTCATGTCATTTACATTGTTTAAAAAGTCAGATGGTGACAGACATTAAACATTAATATACTCCACAACACTAACTTGTCAAAAAAAAGGGTTCCTAATAAAAACTAGAGCCCATTACTGAGTGACCTTTAGCTAATCTCTATTTGATAGAATTCTGATCTTCACTAAATATCTTTGACCTCTAGTAACTGATCATCTGCCATATACATAACAGATGACGTTTAATATATTTTTCTCGGGACAAGCAATTACAGCAGACAGTGGTAGGCAGGGATGCCTCCTTCTTGCCCTAAGACCAGCCTTAAGGCTGGTTAAGAGGAATGGGGAATACTACAGGATACAGAAAAGGTTAACAGCCTGGCAACTGCTAAAGGAAATCATCAATCAGCACAGATCTCTTGGTCCCACTACAGGCTCTTCTTAGAGGCTTCTCACTGTGCCAGGCACTGGCCTGTTAGGTACTGGATTTAATACTTAGAGTGCTCCTAGCAGTATACATTTACTATACTCACAAGTTCAAAAATATTTTTTAAAAATACGCAGGGTCGACCCAGAGTATATCACCATGTCTCTGTTCTTTTGAAACAAGGTCTCACTAAAAAGTTAAACTGCCAAGACTGAGAGTGATTTTGTGATTCTCTTGCTTCAGCCTACCACAGTACTGCATTTACAGGAATGTAACATCACAACCTTTTTAGGAACATAGCTATCATATGGCTAGATATCAGCAGAATACCAGTCCTAAAGTAATAATTAAAAAAACCCACAGCCATTGATGTGACAGAATTATATTCTGTATTGTAGAGTTTAAAACTTTCTAATTATGTCATCCCAAAGTGAATGCTTTGACAATACAAAAGCCAGTAATACTTCAGTGAAGTACTCAGCACAGACTTTACTATCTCTTCATTCTGGGTACTTTTCGAAACTTTCAAGAGTAATCAAATGAAAAATGTTGAGAAACCTATACCTCTGATTTATTACCACATGGTAAACTGACTGCAAATTTGCTACTTCTTTATTAAATTTACATGCCTTTACCTTCCTATCTTTTGATCTCTGTAAATGGAGTGATTTGGTTCTATTCAATGATTTTTAAAAACCCTTTTGTATTGCAGAGACAACACAGAGCTAAAAATGAAAAGTTCCTTACACTTTGCTTGCATTATATAATATAGTGTTTTAAGATATGCTTTATAAATAATTTTCACAAGTACCTGAATAACAACAAAAAAGAACAGTATTAAAAAAAAAAGACCTAGGTAAGTCACAAACCTGAGTTCGTAAAATTTCATTCTTTGACAACTGCATATCACCAGTCAATTCTTTCACAACAATGCCCAGTGGCTCTAGACGTTTGCTGAAGTAGTTAGTCATCTCAGCTGCCAAGGCTTTCATTGGCGCAACATACACAATCTGTACCAAAAACAAAAACAAAAACAAAAACACTGGCTTCATGAATGAACAAAAGCTTTGAAAAGTTATTTGTTTCAAAGAAGCCAAAACAAGTAACAACTTACTGTGAAATATGATTCTAGCTATTTCCTGTAAAAACATTTAACAGTGATATATGAAAAGTACTAATCTTTGTTGGCTAAGTATGCAGCCATTTAAAGGAAAACAAATGTGTTCACAAAGGCTTATCACCTTGTAAATTGCTTCTGCTTTAAAGTGAAGTGTATTTTCATAGCTTTTCACAAGACTAATATGATTTACCTAAAACAAATAGTGACTACTTTTAATAGCAATGAAGTAAATCAAGAGGCATTCTTTTTTTTTTTTTTTTGTCTTTTTCATTTTTATCGGTACCAGGGATTGAACTCACGACTGCCTGCTTGAAGGCAGGCGCTTATGCCGCTGAGCTAAATCCCCAGCCCCCAAGAGGCATTCTTTACAAGACTTCAAGTACAATAAATATGACAGAAACTTCTATATTTTATAGAATATATATAACTATAAGCTCACTTTAATTTCTTCAAACACAAAAAACCCGTTGCCTAGTTTCTACTTCTCTCACCTTAAACTCATTCTTTTTGATAACACCTTGCTGAAAATGCTGGCGAATTTCATGCAAGATTGTAAGCATCGCAATATTGGTCTTTCCGGCTCCAGTAGGGGCACAAATCAGCATGTTCTCATTGGTGTTGTAGGCCGTCTCGAACACTATTGACTGGATTCTATTGAGTCTTCTCATTCCTTTAAAAGCCAACTGTCCTATCTTTAAAAAGAAAAGGCATTATTATCTCATGATAGATAATAACATGAAGAACTATTCCAAAATATTAAATAAAAACATTAATTCTCTTTGGTTACAAAAAGAAACTACTTTGTTCAGTTTCTCACTGAGTCTTATATTAAGTCACAATATATGTACAAAGGACTAATACCTAGAATATACTATGAAGAACTCAAACTAGATACTCCGCAAATAAAACACCCAATCAAAAAAAGGGCATCTGAAATGAATAGACACATTACAAGAGAAGGATAGATGGCCAAGAAATACAAATAACGACAACATTTCCAATCATTAAAGACATGTAAATTAAAAGAGCATCACAAGTTCATCATACTCCAAAAACAATGGCTAATATCAAGAAATCAAATGATAACAAAAACTGGGAAGCTGCAAGGGAAAAAAGGAATCCTTACTGATAGGAATACAGCACTATGGAAATCAGCATAGAAATTCCTCAAAAATCTAAAACCAGAAATTCCACTTGAGTGTCAAAACTTAGCAGATAGTAACTATTATGAAAAACTGTGCTTCAACATATTGAAAAATCTGGAAAAAAAGAGATTCTGAATCTTATAAATTACCAAACTAAACCAAGAAGAAATAAAAATTTTGAACAATCCAATGACAAGCATTGAAACCGAGGCAATAATAAAAAGAAAAAGGAAAAGACCCTACCAACTCAGAAAAGCTGAGAAACTGATAGATTCGCCGCTGAAATCTACAGGACTTTAAGGAGGTTGTACCCTAATTACTCCTCAAACTCTTAATGAAATTGAAAAAAAAAAAAAAAAAAAACAGTGCTTGCAGACCCATTTCTGGAATCAGCATTACTCTACTGCAAACTAACTACAAAAAATAGAAGACAATCTCCTTAATGACCACGGATTCAAATATCCTCAAGAAGACACTGGCAAATAGAATGCAGTAAGTAATTAAAAGAATTACACAGCACGACCAATTAGCTTTCATCTCAGAGCTACATGGATGTCAATAAATAATAATTATAACAACAAAAGAAAGGACAAATGGTCATAAAAATCAATGCAGAAAAATCTTTTGACAAAATCCAACATTCATTTACAATGAAAAAACAAACAAACAAACAGCCAGCCAAGTGTGGTGGCATATTCTTCTAATACCAGCACATGCCTGTAATCCCAACACATGGGAGGCTGAGGCAAGAGGATTGCCAGGAGTTTAAGGCCAGCCTGAACTATGTATCAAAATCATGTCTCAAAAAACAAAAATACAAATAAACAAAAAACCTCAAAGAAATAGGTACAGGAGAAACATCTCATTCTGATGAAAGCCAATTTATATCAAACTAACAGTCAAAATCATATTAAATGGGAAAAAACTGAAAGCTTTCCTTTTCAAATCAGCGAGAAGACAAGGATGTCCACTATTACTACTTCTGTTCAATGGGATTTTATAAAGAAAAAAAGTCAAATTATTACTTGTAGATGACAGGATCCTCTATATAAATATCACAAAATAATCCTTCAAAAGATTGCTAGGATAACTAAATTCAGCCATGTAGCAGAATACAAAATTCACACACAAAAATCAACAGTGATCCTACATACTAATAGGGAATTCAATGAGAAAGAAATTAAGAAAAAAACCCTCTCAAAATAGCAACAAAAATTTTGAATCTTTAAGAATTAACCTAACCAAATAAGAATAAAAGCTCTACAATGAAAATTACAGTACTCTCAAAAAGATATCAAGACTTCAGAAAACAGAAAGATATTCTGTGTTCCTGGACAGGCAAAAATGGAAAGATATTCTGTGTTCCTAGACAGGCAAAAACAATGCTGTTACAAGGGCCATGCTCCAAAATTTATGGAGAAATTTCATGCAATCTCAGTCAAAATACCAATAACATTCTTCACAGAACTAGAGAAAACAATCCTAAACTTCATATAGAATTGGAAGACAGTAAAAGCAGTCTAGGCAACAATAGTAAAACAGGAGACATCACAATACAAGATTTTAAGTTATACTAGAAAGCTATGGTGATTAAAAATGGCATGGTATTCTCACACACAGACACCAAAACAAATGACCAATCAATGGAACAAAAGGGAGCACGTAGAGATAAGCCCAGATATATTCAGTTATCTGATCCTTGACAAATGGGCCAAGGACTTACGGTGTATAAAACATAGCCTTTTGTGCAAATGGTGCTAGGAAAACTGGCTATGCAAAAATACAGAAGATTGAAGCTGGACCTATATCTCAGTATCATGTACTAAACTAAAATCAAAATGAATCAATGATCTAAATAATAGCACGAAGAATTGATTTACTGAAAAATTAAATACACAAACTTGAAGTCATAGGGGTAGGACTTTTTTGTTTTAACAGAATTCTAATAGTACAAGAAATGACAGTATGAGTAAACAAACGGGATTATATCAAATTAAAAAGTTTCTGCAAAGCAAAGGAAGCAATCAATTATGTAAAGACACAATGTACAGAATATGAAAACATTTTTTGCCAATTATTCTTCAAAGGACTAATATTTACTATACATAAATAACACAAAAAATTAGACCCCCACAAAATAAAAGACCCAATAAAAAATGGGAAAATGAAATGAATAGACATTTTTCAGAAAGAGGTATAATTGGCAATAAACATGAAAAAACTGTTCAATACTGTCAGCCATTAGAGAAACACAAGTTTTAAAAAACGCTTAAGATTTCACCTTACACCAGAAAACATGACAATCACTAATAAATCAAACAGTAACCAACGCTGTCATGGCTGCAGTGAAAAAGGAATTCTTCTACATTCTTGGTGGAAATATAAACTAGTACAACCACTATGGAAATCAATATAAGGCTTCAAAAAAACTAGAAATAGTAATTATTGACCCACTTATTCTCCTTTCAGCTATTTTGCAAAAGAAAGTTAAAGGTCATATTACAGCAATACAAGCATATTGATGTTTACAGCAGTATAATTCATAATAGCGAAATCTTGGAAGCAGCATATATGTTCATTAATAGACAAATGATTAAAGAAAAAGTGCCACTTACATATAATGGAATGCTACATGGGTACAAAGAGAGATAAATTCAAAACACTTGTAAAAAAATGAATACACCTTAGAACAATGTTAAGTGAAATAAATCAGACATAAAAGCTGAAATTCAATATGGTTTCTCTCATTTCAGTAATCTAAAGCACAAATAAAGAGCAGAATAATAATTAAACTTAATAATAATAATTATAATGAAAATAGGGAACAATATAGGGATAGATGGAGGCCAATAGATGGCCAGGGAGGCGAAGGAGAATAAAAAGATCAAGTTATGTTAAATATCATGTTATGACTTGTGTAAATGTCCCACCAAAGCCTCGTGCAGTCATAGGTGGGGTTTTTTCAGAGGTGACTGAATCTAAAGTGTGTGACTGATTCATGGTGCAATGCTAGGATTAAGGGTGGGTGATTACTGTATCAGTCCACTGATTGACTGGTTTGGTACTGTCCTAATCTAAGTATCCTAAATAGAATACAAAGGAGGCAGAAAAAAGCTGCTAAGGCCCCTCTCTTGCTTGCTTTGCTACCTCCTGACTGTGATGAACTGTTTTTCCACCGCAATGCCTCTCTGCCCTACCACCCTGCCTTGGAGCCACTGATTACAGACCAAAACCTCTATACACTGTGAACCAAATAAACCTTTCCCCCTTTAATTTTGGATGTTGGGTATTTTGACTCATCAATGAGAAAAGTAACTAAGACATACACCGATTTCTTAAAATAAATGTAAACATAATGTATTGCAATCCATATATATAACATTAAAATACATTTATAATTTAAGAATATTTCAGAAAGCCTATTTTAAAAAATACAATATAAAAATAATAAAAACATCATGTCTACTAATATATCAGAGTGATCTTTTTTCGTGCCTAGAAACTTATAGGTAGGTGAACTAAATACCTGTGACTACACCTTCTAATTTCTTCATCAATACATATATACTGATCATTCAGCAGTGGAAAGCAATGCAACATACTTTTCAGAATGTTGATTCTGGGGACAAGTTAAAATTTGGCTTTACTACTACTTACACTGAAAAGACTAAAGATTTACAAATTCTATTTCCTCAACTGCAAGAGAAGGTTATTAGTATCACACAAGGAAATTATAAAGATTAACAACAGTATAGCTAACAAATATGGAATGTTAACTATAGGTCATGCATTGGGTATTTATCCTTTACATAAATTACCCTAATTATTTCTAATGACTTTACCAAATTGTTTCATAAATGAGAAAACTTAACCTTCAAAAGGCGTGTTTCAATTCACATAGCTGTAAGTGATGAAGCCAGGATTGGAAATCACATTCCACAACTTCAGAATCAGTGCTTAATCAGAAAATGCTTACAACCAAAGAGGTGACTGAGTTATTTAAATATGTTGAAATTAATAAATGTAACCACTAGGGTTATATGAAATGTTCATTTTTCTGAAAGTTCACTAAAATAATGCTGTAAATGACTACTGCAATTTCCAAAATCTCTTCATAGGTTTATTCCCACAAACATGAAATAGAGCATACAAAATAAATTTCAAATGTGATCATGTCACATTCTAGCTTAAAAACCTTCAAGACACAGAATACACAGTAGACAGGACTCCTTCCAATGTAAGCCCTTGATATTATCTCCCACTGATGACATTTACATACACCATGGTATTTTTGACTGTCTCTGTGTCTTTGCCCTAGCTAGTAAACCTTTCCCAAACCTGAAAACCTCTCCAATACTATAAACAATGATGATATCTATACTTCTCTGCATTTCAAAAGATTTAGGGAACTCCCATTTTTCCAGTCAGCTAGAGTTTTACACACTTCTCTTTGTACATTACCATTATAAACCTTAACCATAAATATTAAAATGATTTCTTTATACTGTATGTATATCTGGTCCACTGGATTAAAACCAAAGATTCTG